GATGTCCACATCGGGGCAAGCGTAACACCCAGAGACATCCAGCTCGCAAGCAGCATGCACCAAAAAAAAAAACACAGTAGCTCCTCAACTAGGATGAGCCTGCGGGAGTTTGGGAATAGGATGTTTCATGATTGTTCAATCATGAGGAAGAGTAATGTTGGATGGCATGTGTGTGTGTGTTCCGTACATACTCGCAAATGTTTGTCTGAACATCACGTGCAATATATATATATATACAAGTCAAATCAAGTCAATAAGTTGGAATCTGCAAGAACCTGCCCCACTTTTCTGTCTCTACAGAATGAATTCATCGCTTGACTCGTAGTTGTTTTAATATGCTTTAATACCCAGAACATTTGATACAGTCTCTGCTAGTAAGTCAAACCGAAGGAAACCATGGACTCAGGCATGGGCACCACGTATCCAGTTACAGCAATCGATTTGTTCACGTCGGCATCGGTTTGAATCAAGGTGCTGTTTTTGGTAATCTTCATCGACTCTACCCGTGTCTTTTTCTTCTTCTTCTTCTTCTTCGTCTTCTTGATCTGCTAATTTTTCTTTGTTCTTTTTTGATGGTTCCCTGTGGGTTCCCCTTACGAAACGTCATCGTACGGCCGGGCAAGGTCATGATAGATACCAGTGCTAGACTTTTCCCTTTGATGTCATTTCTTGGCATGCAAGCTGCTGGTCCTGCACGTCTCTGTCGGCACGAATACCAGCTCTTTTTTTTTATGCGAAACTTGGGCCAACCCATGATCAAGGGAATACCAGGCATCCCTCGAACTAAATTGCCGTTCATGCGGCATACCTGCACATAATGCCGACCAAGGATTCATCAAACTTTAGTTTTAGGATGCTTTGGGGATCTGCATATATAAATTGATGCATATAAAAAGCAGAGTATACCCCCTTCATTGTATGTGTTCTTAGAACTGTCAGTCAATCGGGGGTCCTGAGTCCAGGGCGTAGGTTGCATTCAGCCGAAAAATCCTAACTGGAAGAAAAGCCATGGATTGAAATTTTTGGACGTATGTTTGGAGGGTTTTCTTCTAAGGGTGTTCCATGATATTCCCTTTTCATGAGCAACGTGCCCGGGGGCACGCGGATGATCGACGGGTTCCGGGTCTAATCGGCCAGGCTGGTACAAGAATTCCTTCGCGGATGCTTCCCACTATCGCTGTGTGAGGCGCCACCCGACGCCAACATCGCCGCCCGAACTGGCGGCTCGGCTATTGGTGCAAAACAAAAAACGACTGGACTTGGCACCGGCAGTGGCGTACTCACACAGCTGCTGAGAAGTAGCTATGTCATTTAGTACATATGTATTCAAGTGCTGCGCCTTATTGTGTGATGAGCGGCTCCCTGCTCATTCATTTTCTCATATTTTCTCTATTCTCTGGGCAGCTGGGCCCGGCACAACAACGAAGGATGCAGCGGCACCAAACAATCAAGCTACCAACTTAACAACCGACCATGCCGGCAAGCAAAGATCCAAGGCATCTAACAAGAACACAACCAGCAAAAAAGAAATGATGTAATACTACTAAAGAAAGGCAACAACTATCTTTACCTGTTGCCCAAGATATGATGCTGATGACAAGAAGAATACCCTGAACATTCGAGATATACGTATATATAATATATACTATTATATACTTATACTATACTACCTTGAATCTACCTTGTCTAACGAATATGTTCGTTCTAGCAGGTTCAGGCTCAGCTTCGCAAGTGCGGAGGTGGCTGCAACTGGAAGACAAATTGTGAGCAAATGGTGACTTAGTCTGGGAAGATCATTCGGTAATGGCACCAAATGGTGCCAAAATGGTGCCAAATCTAGTTCTCCAAACATCTAAGGGTACGGTAGATATTGATAAACAATGATTCGATGAATAATGATACCATAGCTAACCTATGCCATTCTCCGAACCTATGCTGGTATCTCAATATACACTAATCCCTTCTTCCTATTACTAAAACTCCCCAAAATAAACAAAAAAAAAGAATTGGTGTGGCACTTCCGTCTTTTTTTTGGGTTGGGCACAATTTGGATTCTTAATTGTGGCAATTGAGAATCAATAGGAGAACATGATGGTGAAACAATGGGTTCAACCCCCTTTTTAATGAAAATAGATTGCCACCTGGAGGATCTTTATTAGGGTCCCATCTCACAAGTTTTATTTTTTATGTTTATTATTAAGGTTTTCAATATTAGGGGGATGCTTATATAGATTTTAATAAGGGATTTAACCAAATTTGAAATCGAGTTGTTAAGGTTTTCATTGGAATATTAGGGGCACCCTAATACACAATACCCCTACGTAATAATAAAAATGGATCACCGTGTTTACCATTGAATTTGCGGGAGGGCGTTTTAGTAATGAGAAGATTACAAGACTTAACAGTCAGCTGCCGCTTTTTTCCCAAACATAAACATCGAAAAACTAGCCAAGGTTCAGTAGCTTGTCACAATATGGCACATCACTTGTTTATGTCTGTCTGAATGACCGGCGCGGATCCATGGCCGTCAAACTGGACCAATGAGTTTGGAGTTTCCGCCGCGGTGACGTACAGATTTATACAGTCTTTGGTGCATGCGTCGGGCTCATCCAACACCAAACCGTTGAAGAAAGCCATCTCTAGGGTGCCACAAAGAAATTCATCGATCCTCCATGGAATCAGTTGGAGCCAATAGAACCCAGTTGAATGAGCTCAGCGTTCCATGCATCATCTGGGCTTGTGCCTAGGCTTGTGCCTGTCACCACTGAGCTGCATAACCACCAAGCTTCTAAACCCACTACAAAAGATTGATAAATCATTGCAGTAAGTGAATTAGACCTAGACATCCCTAGATCTAGCTGCTGGCACGCTGAAATGGGAGAGTGCCTAGAAAAAATGCGGGAATATGACACATACAATGAAATTGGAACGTCGCAATTTAAGTCACAATTGCTCTTTCTCTCTCTCTCTCTATGTTATTCCGGAACATGAACAACTGGCAGGTTGCCGCACACTGGTGCTTATGCTCAGGTCTGCATCCATATGGGATGGCATGATCAAACCAAACACGGCCTGTGCTGTCTACAGCTCTTCTTGTGGCGGGCAGTTATCAGCCCTACGGAATAGCGAAATCAAAGCCTACACCAATCTGGAGGGCGAAGGAATCTGCTTGCAGTCTTTGAAAACCGGCTGGGCATCTGTTATTGGCTTCAGCAATACTTTTTTCAGCTGAAAGAGTGCTGAAATTAGTAAGAGTGCACGTTAAACTTGATCAGTGAAAGAATCCCATGGTTTGAATGCATCTTTTCCTGACGGTTTTCAGACGCATAAATCCGTCTGCACATGTCCCCGTGCTGAATGACAACACATCATTGGTTCCAAGTTTTCCAAGCCCAGTTGTTTCTTATTCTGAGGAACTTGTCACTCAATACCTCATCTGAATATTGAGCAATCCCGAAATGAATAACATATTTGCAACACGTTAGATCTGAATCATATATGTATAAATAATTTATTAAATAATATTATTCATATCTATAAACATAGGTCGGGTTTGAATTTGGCGAACCAGATTTGCAAGCAAATGTGCCCATCTAGATCGTGCCACAGGCAGTCACAAACACGCCCCTTCTGCGACGGTGGTGTGACAGTGACTGGGCAAATGTAGTTATGTAGTATTTGGTCAAAAGGAGGGCCTGTTAAAACCTTGGTGGCAGTGGCAGTACTTGTTTATCTCTTTCCAGCGGCTTACTACAATATCTACAATATATACAATGCCTGTGTGGGTATGGTTTAGCACCCTGGTAGCCTTTTGTTCACACCAAAATCGTTGGCAAATGGATGTTCAGCTCTCCTACGGTAAATATGTAAACATAGCTCTTCACCCATCCCAATGTAAAAAAAAATGTGACAACCAAAGTAGCCGCCTTCGAGAAAGTGCATGTGCAGTTTCAACTGGGTCTGCACGCTACCTTGTCTCATCATCCCAGGCGAGGTTAGAGAGTGACAAATGGACCCAACAGCCATCAGTTTGTCACAGGGTATAAAGGGTATACACGGGTATACCCGTCATCTTGTCAGCTTGGCATCAAGAGGTTGTATGATTTGGATAATGAGTATCCTCAGGCAATCTGACCTGGCAAACTCCCGCATTTTTAGTTCGTTTATAGATGAATTTCTAGCAATGATGATACAAACAAATGCAATACAGTAGGATTGATTTGCCATTGCCAGGTTTGTTACTGTAATATATCCGTTTCATTCCATTCGTAGAAATAGCCCCAGGAATTCCCATGGAACTAGAAACTGCAGTTCTTACACTTCTAGAATTCTAGAATCTTGTAGGCTTGAAAAATCTTGAAACAATCTGCAGCATCAGCATCCCTCCTCTTGCCCGAAAAGGTTACTGAGCGCCCCAGTACAGGCATTTGTCGCCTTACGGTACCAGGCCCCTCCCAGCATCACTGCCGCAGTCTTTGCATCCGATAGATCAAAAGCGTCCCCAGTGGTCAAGATCATATCGCAAATTGGCTAAGCAGAGCAATGATTGTGATCAAAGTTGGCAAATTCCAAACAGACCACAGCCAACAAATGTATTGTGAGTTTGCTGGGTCTTGGCTAGACGCTGATTTGGTAGAGATCACCAACTGAAATTCAGGGAGCTGGCATGTGGTATTTATTGGCTTCAGCTATCCCTGCGTTTACCTTTCTGCGAGCTACTCTATCATCAAATACCGGCGACCAGCAAACCTGTTGAGCCACTTACACGTCAGAATTCGTGACCCAAGACATGGGATCCGAGTTCAGTCCATTGGTCGTCGCTATATCTACAGCTATTCACTACCCCACTATCCTGTGAATCCTGGGGGTAGGACTTGACCTGTTCACCCATGTCATTCCAATGTTGCAGCAACACTGCAACACCTGGAAATGATAAGGTAAATCAAACGTCATTCAGGGAGATAGACAGAAGCAGGCTTCCAAGTATATACATCTAAAATGTCAGATTTCCTTGTTGGTCGCAGATGCCAAAGCCACAAACATTGGGCCACGCTCATTGGGAGCTCGACCTCATGAGTCCTGACGCCAGGCGATGCTGATCCATGCTGGAGTGATCCAAATGGAAAAATAGCGATCGGGTGACCCGGTGGTCGAAAAGTTCCCCTCCAGAAATTCAAAATTCACATGTCATGCACGCACAAATATATATATATATATATGTGTATGTATATTACTGTACACACACATATATATATAGATAGATAGGCTAAAGTATAATCTTATGTTCCTGTATGTTTACCCTGAAAAGAACACGTATATATACATGTATGACATGCCTGTGCATCACATACACACACATACACACATATATATATATATATACACATGCATACATTATATAACATAGTGACGTCTATACATCCATTGTTTCATGTATGTTTCCCAGCGGGGTAAGATTTTCGGTCCTTGATCCACAAAGGGATGCTGATCATCTTCCTGTAGAGAACGTGTCGCAGGGGGGGAGGTGTCATGGATCTTGGAGAATTGGCTGTGTAGGATGCTTCCAACTGTGTGGAAGGAGATAGGGGGCTCTTCCCACCTAGCACCCGAAATGTGGCAAAGTGGGCCCTTCCAACGTATATTAATATAAATGTTACAGTATGTGTATATATATATATTTATATATTTAATTATGTACTATATATATATACATATTACTATATACTATATACTGTATACTATATATATATATATTATTATATGCTATAATATATATATACATACATACTATGTTACATATATATATATAATATATATATACTGTATATATATATCATGAAGTACTAGAGAAACCATATGTTCAAAAGAAGACAGTATTACAGTAAACATGTTTTTAATCCCCAGCTACACTAAGGAGCGAATGGTGCCAAATCCAGTTCTTCTACATGTGCCTGCTGGTTGTGCCCAACAAAAGACGGAAAATTCAGCAAAGAGAAAAGTGTCATAATATGTCATAAGTCTCCATTTGTTCTCAGGCCTGCATCTCCCATTTGGTTTCAGCTCAGGTATGCTCAGGCTTCAACAAATCAATACTCAGCTGGGCACAATTGTCCACCTTGTGATATGATCAAATCATCTTCCATTCACATCGGATTATCCATTCACATGTTCCATCGCCATTCACCAAGGTTTTGGTGGGCTAAGCCAAGCCAAGCTCAAGCCACCACCGTTCCATCGCCCGCCTGCTCGCCACGCCATAGAAGCTCCAAGGTCTTTTCCAACACTTGCATATTTGGCTCCTGCAGTGATCTCTTGTGAGATATTACTGATACATATAGTAGATAGATATATATATATACACATACGGATATCGCTTGATATCACCACGTAGCATTGGTCGTTTCAAGGGGGGTTATATGTGGTTATATAACCTCTCTATCAACCAACCAACCAGTAGGGAAAGGTTACTGACCTTACTTTGACTTCGATATCTTAGAGGCTTGGACCACTTTCAAAAGACACCCAGACTCATCAACTTGCAGGCCTCTGGAGACCAAGCTTGTCCTGGAAACACCACCTGGAAACTCTTGCGTCTGCAGTTTCAAACGCCCATACGAAGTGGCCAAAGGGAAAAACATCTTGAAATATCTGAAAACTAACCTTTAAAAATCCAAAAGCATATCTCATGTTGTTGGCGCTAGAGTAAGGTTTGACGAAATTAAAGCATCAATGCATATGAATTCACACCAGAAACCAACAGTGGGATACAGTGGGACACCAAGTTTGGCACTTTGGTAAACCCAGCACCCAAAGCCCTTCGGAACCACCAATGATGTTATTTTGGTTCAATCCATGCCACATTGCTACAGCACCGCCAGCCCTCTGCGTACCTCCCTGACTGGTAAGAAGGCCGGCAGAGCACTCACAGGAATGGTCTGGGAATGGCCAATGTTCAGATTCCAAGTGTGATGCTAGTCTGATTCATGCGGATCCATGCGCAGAAAAATGCGATGGTGAAGTATAGATATCGGATGAAATCGGGGCCTCATCCTATCAAATGTATTTGCCAAGCGATTTGCCATTCAATCCAAAGATCAAACAAACTCCATCACATTGCAACTGGTTCAGGTCGAATCCGCTCATACCTGCTCAGTGGTTTTGACTCCCAAGGGGAAGCACTATGTGCCCAGTATGGCTGAAAAAATGAGCTAGGACATTACACACACGGGACTAGGCATTTCGGTACCATTAGACCATCATAGACCATCCATTTCCGGGGACTCATCTGAGCGTATCATTGTGTGGGGTGATCATCCAAAAGTCCAGAACACAAGACAAACTTGTTTCAAACTTCAAACCACCAGCCCAGCACTTGTCACTACCAGCCAACAATTCCACTTTGCTGAGATTTACTCACCTGATCCGATCCCCAGTGGGGCGTTCAAAAGTGGGGACGCCTAACAAACTGGGACTGTCATCTACGCATATTCATACTGGGGTTCTTAAATGGGGGATCCCCGAGTCACCATGGTATACCATGGCTGTTTCAATACTAAGTCATGCTCATCCATGACAGATGATTTGGGGGTTCCCCCATGACTTATGGAACCTCCAATTGAAACAAGCGCTGAGCCCGCAACAGGCTCTGGAAACGATTCGGCCCAGGCAGGGATTCCTGGCCCAGTTCAATGCACTGTCTATATCTGTCTACAGTATAGTTATCTTCATTCAATGGAGCATGGAGATGCATGAAAATCAGATAAGAACGATGAAATTGGTGGGTAAAATTGTTGTGATAGTCACTATATAGTCAACAAAATTGTAGAGTTTAGTCACTATCACTATATAGTCACTATAAACACTACTAATTTTGATTTTAGTGTTTACTGTTCGTGTTTTTTCCAAGTGCAAACCTCCAGAGGCCAACAGGAACATCTTCCCCAGCGAAGTTCGATGACCTGGATGTGTTCTCCGTGCCAGAAGTGACACCTATTAATAGTATTTTATAGTGATATTGGGATATAATTATTGGAACTATAAAATATATGAGAATTGGGATATACATGGATATACAGAATTATATTACTTATATATTACATATCCATGTATATCCCAATTCAAATATATTATATAACCTATTGGCGATATATATTATAACATATTATATATGTATAGATTGTGCTCATTTATTGTTACTGAGTTTACCACAGCCACAGCATTCTACCGGCCGCCGCACCTAGGCCCATTGGTGGCGGCAGCTGCGATGGCATCGAGTTGGTGTAGCCGACCCTTGCGGGGACTTTGGGCTTGGCCTCGTTGCTATGCCACGTCCTGAGGCGGCAGCACCACAACAGGGATGGCGCCAGTGGGAGAATCAGCAGTAGGGAAGAGCAGTTTTGATAATTTTGGAATCCTCAAACACTCAAAAATCTCCTGAACACTCTACTGGCTTGCTAGCTGAGCACTGAGCACTTCATTTTGAAAACAATTGAAAACATATGAAAGTCGGGGGTTAATCATCCCAAGTAGGCTGCGAAAACATATGTTCGACACCACCAATATTAGCGGAACCAACTTTCAGGATCTATACATGGGTCTTCCACTTCCAGCCCTGGCTGGCCAAGTTGCAAGCGTCCCGACTGTTGCTCTTCCATGCTACGGAAACGCTCCTGGGCCGCCAAGTTTTCGTCTGTTGATCTATGATTATATATATATATGCTCTTTCGCCATTGGTAACCGCGTGAGCTGCGTGAAACACATCCACAGACCACAAAACTCCAAAAGAAAAGCTCATGATCCCTGGCTGTAGCCTGTTGTACTGCCGTTTGCGATTCTGCATCCTCAACCCTCAAGTGGAGCCGCCAGTCCCAGCCCCCAGTGGCTCCTTTGCCCTCTCAAACTCCTCCAAAGTGAGGATCGCACCAAGCTTTTTGTGCAAGCGTTGACGGACACGCCGCTTCAGTGCTCGGTTTGGTGCATTTGCACTCTCCTAAGTGATAACGTTCAGAAAAGAACTATGACCAGCAACGGCTGGTCAGTTTCAAGTCATCATATCAATGACTTGGAAATCACATAGCGACTATATTGATTTCCGGTATCTTACAGAATATAAATTATTGTAGGGCGGTATAGGCTGGTACAGGTCAAGCCTCATTGATTCATCATGGAGCGTCCTGCACAAAATCAAACCAAGGCAATTTAAGAATCCTTAAGGCAGTTTCACATAGTTCAACCATGCTTAACCCATATAGCGTCACCAGTGCAACAATCAGGGCAGACAAATCCGACGACCCAATGGCCCCCATTGGTGGTCCCCTTGGGCCCACTTTTGCCAGTAGGCCCGTGCTGCTGTCATGAGCAGCTCATCCACTGAGGAGCGACTGGCCTGCAGCTGCGCATGCTGCGCTGGGGTCTAACATTGTGACTTGACCAAAGTTTGATGAGGATCAGCTTGCACACACACAAAGAATGAATCAAATGTTGACTGACATTGAATGATTCTGGGAAATTCTGGGAGTTGCCTGCTCCTAGAATGGAAAGTTCAGTTTAGTATATTCGAGGGCAGTGGGGATGCAAAAAGGGGAAGCCTTGTTGATTGAAGGAAAGGCAATGTCCAAGCACCAAAGCCAGAATGGAATTGCGCTTATGATGGTCCTGTCACTTGTTTCTCACTCCCTCCGCACTCGTCATGTGATGAATATTGGAAGTCCAAACATGACTCAAAGCTGGGAGTTCAAGCAAATACGTGCAACTACCTTGTATTATATGGGCAACAATATCTTGCTATGTAGAAATATTGTATATGATGGGCTCCGGCAAATGGCAAATAATTATATATATTTAATATATATAAAAATAATTATATATAATTATATATAATTATCAGGGATTTATCCCAATTTATGGCAATCTTTTCTTGCGGAACATGACTCTCAACCATGGTGGCGGCCACCTTGGGGTTGGCGCTCGTGACGCTGCTGGTTGGAGCGACGTAGTCGCACATGGCGCCCCCGGTGGATTCGGCCCCGCGACGCGTGTGATGCCTGGTGCACACCTCAAAACGAGAGTGGCTGCGGTGGTCCTGGATGGTGCAGGGAATGGGCGCTTGGGACGCATCATCTGAGCAATGAAACCACAAATCATCTACACTGATATAGATCAAGACAACCTACTCATACCTACTCTCTCTAGCTAACAATGATTGACAAAAATCCAAAAGATCCTCTAACACGTCACCTTCTAAGATACAAAGGAACATCATCTCAAGAGATCCGCCAAAGAGAGAAGCTTGCCTGTGCTCACATGTACAGTATATGTATATATATTAAATATATATATATATATTTGATAATAATAATAATGCACATGATCCATGTATGAAGCAGTGTTCAAAATCCTCCGTCGTCACTGGTTCGTAAGTAGGATTTCCGGCCGGTGGAGACATGACCTCCGCCTCAGTGGCCAAGCGAACCGACTCCAGCTGTAACAACTCCTCTGACTTCAACTTGCCCGTTAACGCCTGAGGCTTGGAACCCTGCAAGGGAATTGGTTGAAGATGTTGAAGCTCCGCGTGTCCATGGTTTTATATCGTTTATTATGTGTTATTTTCATGTGAAATGTCCTGGCTTTTTCGTGAAACCCCGATGCGTTGGCGATTACATCATTAAACCAAATTCAATCTTGATTTCGGTGGGCAGACGCCCCACATGTTTTGGTTGCCACCCTTTTTGAGAGTGGCTAGCTGTCTCCAAACATTAAGGGGAATGACCTTGAGCTGATACGAACACGTATGTTGTTTTTTTTTCAACAACAATGGGATAACATAACATACAGCCGCCAGTCAAAGAAAGGGAAAACCATGGAGAACATGCCTTTTGCAGCATAGTATTCTGGCAAACTTCAGGGGTTTTTTCTCCACATGATGGAAAATGAAGGGATTCATTATTAACCACTATTAACCATTATTAACCATTATTAACCATTCATTATCCATTCAACAATCTTCAACATATTGAACAAAATCTCGATTCTCTGGAGCTCCACTTTTCAGAGAGACCGGAGAAAAAAATATAAAGTTTAGTGAAGGCTCTACAACCGTTAAACAAAATATATATATTTCTACAAAATGTAGCGTTCACATTCGTGTTCACAAGGCATTGTTTCATTGAAGAGCCCTGGGCTACTCCTAACAGGGCTACTCCTAAAAGTTGCTATCCTTTCAAAAAAAAACTCAAGAAGTCAGAAAACAACTCAAAAAAAACTTTAAAAACAATCCAACAATTAAAAACAACTAACAAACAAAATCTCAGAAATCACCATAAGATCTTCAAATATGTTTTTAACTTCAATCTAAAAAGTATTATATAATGACAAATAACTATTTGGAATGAAAAAACATATTTAAAATGGAATTATTTGGAATGAAATTGAATTATTTGGAATTAAAAATCAATCAAAAGAAATGTTCTAGGATTCTAGGAGTGTCCCTACAAGGAATGTCCCCCTCCATAGATAAAATTGATTGATGTGCACTGACGTTGCCTTGTCAAATAGAGTCTGCGACCGACCATCCGATCCAAAATTAAATGTGCGCACACAAGACTTACAAACACAACCCATTTTCGGGTATGGCTGATCGGAGGAGCCTGAGTTTCATCTCAACAAACGGATGAGTGTAAATCTGTGTGTACAAATGTATATAACATCACCCCCAAGTAACATGGACCCTGAAAACTGCCTATCTCAAACGGAAAATAGTGTCCTGCAATTCCTGACTTGTTAGGCATGGTATTAAAAAAAACGTCTATATCCTTTAGTCTATCAGTTATATATATTATATATATATTATATTTCCATTGGATTAGACTTTTGAGAGTTTTCAGCAAAAATCGGAATCTGCATAACGAATAGTACTTCACTCACATGTGATTTTTCTCGCCATTTGGGAAGGATTCCCATGGATTCCCCTTACTACAGTAACCATATATTCATGGTAATCTCGGGAGCTCCAAAACAGGGCCTCCTTCTCCGCCGTCAGGGAGCCAAAGGCCTGTTCAGGCATCCCATTAGAAGATATTGGAAACCATCATGACCCCAAGCACAAACAGAGTGTGTGGCTAGCAATCAACTATATAACTGGTGGTTCTGATAGCACTTGTGGTTAGCTCCCCATTTCCATAATGATTTTCGAATTCGAGTGTCTTTGGCTCGCTCACTCCCTCCGATAACTATGGGACAGTTCTCTCCAGGAATACTCGTAATCACTTGAATCTCGGGATCTCAACTCTTCAAAGTAGAGTAGGCAGGGCGAAAAGCTACCACGCAGGCCGTGTCACTCTTCTGTTGCTTGCTTCCATTAGCAGTTCCCTGGGAATCTTTGGCCAAGTATATTAGATGTGGACATGAATGTAGACCCAACACAACACTCAATATTTAATTGGAGAGATATACCCCCCAAACATAGTGATGCATTACAGAATTGCTACCAAAAAAAAGAACGCAGCCAAGGGTCCCCTGGATCCCTTGGAAGGTCAATGATGTTGAGGCCAGAGGGATGGAATAATGAACCCCCATCCCGGTTGCTCCTCCCAACGGTTCATGTCGGGAAGGTTGGAACCTGCACCACAGTGGCCCTGCATACCGACAGCATGGGATCTTCCAAGATAGAGAGGATAGAGGATCAAATGATCGACGGGTAGCCATTCGCTACCATTTGGATTGAATTTGCCTGAGAGAACCCAACCACCCAACAAAAATATACAAAAATACCAGTAGATTAATAACGACTGTGGGAAATGGGATCCACTCGGAAGATAAAGTTGACATAAGCATCATTTCACATAAGCCTAAATCCAGACTGGAATCCTCAAAGTGAAGATCAAATTTCATAAAAAAACAAAACAAAACGTGCTGATGCGCTATCCTCAGCAACCTTCAAACCTCAAAATCCATGATGGAATGCCTGATTCGCCAGGAAACCTAGGTCAAGTTCATAAAGTGCCTATACACCTGTATAGACTGTATAGAGATGTATAGAGTATATAGCTGGTGATAAACCTTGGCCGGTGACCTGGGGTTGCCTCCCCCCATGGCAGCCGGAACCTCTAGAGCTGGCCAAAAGGCTCTGCCTGTGGCAAGGATGAACATTAGATTGCACTTGACTGTGCTTTTCTTAGCCGCCATTCCTTAGGATGTAATTTCCAATAAATAACTGACCTAAATGACGGTATAATATATCCAATAGTATCCTTGTCCAGATGACCATCAATAACCCCATGACTGGGCCCCCAATTGTCGATCCAACACATTTCACTAGGAATTCTGAGGCAATCCCGTACCTGCTCCCCTGGAGGCAATGGTTCAGAAAGCAACTGAGGTATAAAGCTATGTTTGCGGCATACAACTAGAATAAGCAAGTAGTATAGTATGTACATGTATATACTTATATGTACACACACGCCTCTATATATGTGAATATATATATAATTATATATATACACAACAATGTGACATGGTAATTGTACGCACAGAATCAATCCAAGAAACAACAAATGGGGTGTGCCGCCCTACAATTTTTGCTGAGTGCATGGCCACTTTGCAGCTACTGGTGGCTGTGCGAACCCAAAACAAAGAACCCACGAAACTGCAGGAATATGCTCACTGAAATGGATCCATGTGGTGGGTGTTCATTTATTGGGATCCAAATATATAAATTTGATATTGAAGAATGTTGTGTTTAAACGATAGGTAAACAGTTAACAAAATCGATCAAATGTGTTGAGGAGACATAACATCGAACAAACTTCTAGTAAACCCTGGCTGCTGATTTTTGGAGATACTCAGACATTCAGAGAAATCTCTTCTCTGCAAAACGAGTCTTGGACATGTTCCAGCCACACTAGTCACTAGTCAACCAACACTTTACGAGCTTTTGGTTTACCCACAACCACCACCTGGGGTATCACCCCACGCACCCTGTGCACCCGCAGCGCTCGGGAAGTGCAACCGGTTCGAGAGCTGCCAGGGCAGCCTGAAATTCTCTGTGTACAGTACAGCAACCCATAGCAACCCCTTCAAAAAAATTGAACGTATTATAAATGATGATTGCCCATCTAATAAAAATTGGACCTTATCTGTAGACAAACCTTTAAAAGAAGAAAAGTAGAACATCTCAAAAAAATGTTGTGGCTAATACTATGGGCAGTGATATTTATTGCTATGGTCAATTGTGTCTGTCTTACCTTTCTTGGGGGAATAAGCAAATGCATGAGAGTTCAGTCAAAGACTGAAGGCAAGCCAACAGCCCAGCCCCCCAGAGAATAATCTTATTTATTAATATTAATATTTATTATATAATATATGTAGCTAATGTTCGCTGAAATTATGTTATAGCGATATATATATAATTATATATATTATTTTGCAAATGGAAGGCAAATGTGACAATACACTTAAACACGGTGGCCCGCATCTGTAGAACCGTCTTGAAACCACCTATGTTCCGTTTTTAAGTGTCTGTCTGAAAATGTAGGGCTTGTATGAGCCCCAGAGATCCTAGAGGATGTGGAACTTGGAATCATGGATCTCTACTGCTGGTGGATGGTTGGGATGGCTGGGTGGACTTGAGACTATCATTGCCCGTTGGGTGTCAGAAATGTGGAGCATGTACTCCTCCCTCCATTCATCAACCAGCTACGAAGGAGAAAGAAACACATATCCCTTGCTTATCTTTAGGTACCTCACCAGAAAGAGTCGAGTTTCCATTCCTTGATGGCTAAATGGCACCAAATCAAGCTATGAACCTATAGCCTATAGACTTATCGTAAGCCCCAAAAGATCCAAAAAGATGGAAACGTGTTTCCAGGATTGTCCGGCATGGTATATATAGATGATATATGATTAATTATCTTTACCCCCAAAAAAAAACAGCTTTCCCACGTTTCATCCTCACCCGGGCCATGCCTGGCAACGGCTCCCTGCATCTCATCAAGCATGGGACCCTTGATTCCAAAACCTAAGACAACCGAAGTTATCCAAATGCACCCAATAGTTACTCATCATTATTCATCCCTGGATTTCATATTTTTTAATGAACATATCATCCCCATATCCGGGATATTCATCTTCCAGACCCCATTCTCGGCCGGTGGCCGCCCAGCTTCGACCACCTGGAACTTCCCTTGGCCGTTCTGGGCTCAAAGACCATGGAGCTTCGGGCACCTGGGACACCCTGGAACTGTGGAACACCGCTTTTCTGTTTTCCCTTGTCACTGTGTTTGAGTTTGGGATTCCTCTAATCATTGAGAAAGTGACAAGTTATTTTTGAGGGGCGTGATTTGAACCTTAAGCTCTTTGTCTTTGTAGTCATTTTGTTCTGAATTTGTCCGGTGACCCCTAAAAATAAGGATACGCTGTATGTACACAGATCCAGAAAAATCATTGCATCGCAGGAACCGAGGTAATTATTATATATATCCTTGGAATTCCTTCGATTTGCACAACATGTGCACAGGGAGCATAGCATTTCGTGAAGAAGCGGGGGGAAAAGTTATTATATATATATATCTTTTCAGGGCTCAATCACCAGGTTTGACTAGGGACCCCCAGTCCCCAGTAAGCAGATTTCCTATCAGTGTGTTAGGGGGGGGCAGTAAGCAAAAATACATTTCAGTGCCGATTACTGTGAACACCCCATATGGGAATCTGCTTACTGGTTATCAATAACTATATCTTTCGCCGGGGCTTCCAACAGTTTGCCATACAGCTGGAAATTTGCAGCATGCAGAAGTTGAGAGTTTATACTTGATGTATGAAACACCTTTAGACTCTAGACATGGCCTTGGAGTGTGACATGTTTGTTTACAATTTCTCATGTAAAGTTGAAAATAATCAACAGGTTCCATAGATGTGGTGAACCGACAGGGCCTACCCCGAAACTGAACATCCCGTAAGGCTACAGCAAGAGAACGACATAAAAAAAAACAACTTGAAACATCCCATAGATCCACAGAAATGTTTGGATGGATTAAATGGTTCATTGTGGGATGTTCAATCATCATCTATCCACTTTCTGTGAAGCTTTATCATCTGTCTTCCAGGCTGGGGGCTGTGCCATGTCTACCGACCCTGGTAGTTTGCAAATGGCGAGTAGCCAACCGGCAACCCTTGCACCGATATTTTGAGGGATATATGATATACCCAGTCATCCTGACAGCATTTTCGAACTTCAGGGAACAGTTCCTGATTGGCCAGTTTTGGTGGATGCAAATATCCCACCATACACTACAGTAATATCCTTGTTGCTGGCTTACAACCTAGATGCACTCAAACCTGGCACTGTCATACCCTCTTGGCACATCATTTTACATCCATCTGCAGCTCATTGTCCGAGCAAAAATATCCAAACAATGGGGATTTCGTTACCATGTTGGATACTTGAATTCTGACCCTTAGATCCCTTAGGCCCTAAAACACATTTTTGGACTCCCCAGCCCTCACCTTTTGTGCCACCTGTTGCTGAAGGTCATGGTTCACCTTCAACAAGCGTTCGATTTCCTGCATAGAAGCGTCCGTCCTGGCGGCCGTGTCAATTGCGTTTTATTTTTTGTAAAGAAAAAAACAAGATAGAAAAGGCCCATGTTCTCACTATTTCAATGGGATCTTACTGTTTTTTTTTTTTGTGTGTGTTTAGTTTTTAACAGTTTCCCCAAAACATATAGCAATAAATTGGGTGTAAGTCTTCCGCATTTTCAGGCATACATGTTAATTCTGAATTGCTTTCAGCCAAAATCAACAAACATTGAGATATACAAGGGATATCAGGATATGTTCCAACAAACATATATCACCAATATCAACTCGTCCATGTGTGCATGTTTCGAGGATATGGTTTGTGGTTGAGCCGCCCCAAAAATATAACAGTCAATTGGGCAGCATTTAAGGTAGGGATGCTGAAACATACTTGAACACACGAACCAAATTACCTCTGCCAATCGTCAACTGGTCTTTGGCTTTGGGGTTTGGAATTTGAGGAAACATGAGGAAACCATGGAAAAGCCTTATGGGGGAAATGATCATGGATGATAATGGGATATAATGGGGCACTTCCAGGATCCACACCACCAACCTAAGCCACTTCTTGACCCAAAAATCCAAACAGCACATATTGAAATGGTACAATGAGATTCCGGATTAGCTAAACAAGATCTACATCGTTCATTGTGGATTCCGAAGATTCTGCCATGGGAATGGGAATTGGTAAAAAACGCCATAAGCCACAAGCAATTTGACCTACCAGGCACTCATCGATGGACACGCTACATCCCAGAGACGGGTACGAATTAGTTATTTATTGATATATAATAAATTTAATAAAGTGCACATATACATACCGTATATATATATATGTATATACATACATAATCATACATGTGTGGTGTATATATATACTGTATGTATGTATGTATGTATGTATGTATGTATGTATGTGTGTATGTGTGTATGTGTGTGTATGTATGTGTGTATGTATGTATGTATGTATGTATGTATGTATGTATGTATGTATGTATGTATGTATGTATGTATGTATGTATGTATGTATGTACGGATGGATGGATGGATGGATGGATGCATGGATGCATGTATGTATGTATGTACGTACGTATGTACGTATGTAAGTAAGTAAGTATGAAAGTAAGTATGTATGTATGTATGTAAGTAAGTAAGTATGTATGTATGTATGTTATGTTATGTTATGTCATGTCATGTCATGTTATATTATGTTATGTTATGTTATGTATGTATGTAGGTAGGTATGTATGTATGATAGATATATGGTGTATATATATATACGTATATATATATATACGTATATATATATATATATTGTGCAGGATTGCATGTCTTGGTGGATTTTTTTCGACGTTTCCAAGTTGCTGCAGAATTCCCATGGCCTCTGCGATGGCTCAAGCGGGTGGCCTGGCCGGACTGGGGGAACTGGGAACAGAAATGGGACGACAACGGCGGGATGATACACCATGGGATCTCTGGCGGGTAGATCAGAGTAGATCAGTTGATTCCCCAAATAGTGGATTAAGCATGATGAATTACACATGATTAGATGATTAAACCAGGTGGAGAGAAAAAACAAAAACATCAAATCACCTTGGGCAAAGCCAAGTTCTTGCCCAAGTGCTGCTTGGTAAGCCGTTGCAACTCATTGTGACTAAGTCCTACGATCTCTTGTTGTTTCAACTAGAGGTGCCCCGAGCAATCTGTTCCCCCAGCAGAATTTAAGAACCCTCCAGAAATCTTGGTTTAGTCGTGCATTTGTTCATTTTTTGTGGCCCTTTCTTGGGGCTAGTGAATATTAAGGGGTGAGATTCGGTGAGATTACAAACATCTCTTGCAACTGGGCGGATCTAGGCATCGGCATCAAGATTCCTGAGATGATTCACAACTTTGCCACAGGAATATATCTGAAGCAAACCCCAAAAGGCTTGGCATGCACTTCCCCGCAACTACTTTGCCAGGAGCCCGGGGTAAATGTGGGCGCTCTTCAGATCTCGGAAGGACTGTAGACCCACTTCCAAAAGGGGAACTAGAAATCCCTGAATTTGACGGGAAAAATAGCAGGAAGCTCCATATGTATCCATATTTGATGGTAAGAACACATGGACTTCTTCTTGTTTCTTTCCCTTGAACCACCCCAGTGCTCAGATTCACTGCAAATCAAGTTGCGATAAACATCTCGAGCACTTGGCCCTGGAAGCTTCCTCGGATGTGGCAAGCACCCGGCATCTGGTGGTTGAACCATCCACCTAAAGAAAATCAGGAAAGTCATAGTGGGATATAGGGGGGTTCTTCCAATCGGGGATCGCCAAGTCACCATGGTGATTTCAGTACTAAAATTACTAAAATGATCTAAAATGGTCTAATTTGGATAGTTTTGGGGTAGCCCGATTTTAGGAAACCTCCGATATGAGCAAGCTCGTAAACTCAAGATTCACAAACAGCAGGACCTTCCATCCGATTCCATCGCTTACCACACGTTTCTACAATAATGATGTTTTGCAAATTTGGGTGTGTCACGGTGTGTCCCTAAAAAGGAAAATTATGTAGGTGCACAGGCTGCACAGGTACGAAATAACCTTCACAGAGGGAGGCCCTCGCCATTTGGAAAGGTCCCATCGCTGACCTCATGATCGCACAATACGGGGAACAAAATCCCAATCCAAATGCCCTCTGGTAAGTCACTAGTAAGTTAACATAGCTATGGAAAATCACAAGTTTAATTGGGTCATTATCCATAGCCATGTTGGATTGGAGAGTAATCCGAAAAAATGAGACCAACCAGCCATATGGGTCTCCACACGGAGAAGCCGTCATGGGCGGATCTGGCTCCATCCTTATGCAATCCAATAGGCACATGTCCAAACCAAGTTTGCCCAGAATATCCGTGCCAGAAAATCAGGCAAGGACTTGTTTCAGGCTGGGCTCTTTATGTCACTACGTGTTGGATCTCTATCATTTCATATCACTTTGCAGAAATGATCTTGGCCACCCTCTAGTTTTCACGCCACCAACTGTCAGCAACCGTGGCACCCTGCTGCAGCGCTCCAACCGCGTCCCTTCGCCCAAGCGTTTTGATCGTTTTGGCAGCCCACCATCATGCTGTGAGCCACGAAAGATGGTCATCCCACCTCATCAACCCCACATCAACATACATCAACCAGAAAGGAGACTCTTGAATGCGACTTTTGGGACTGACATTTGCCATGGGTTCACTAGATTTCGGACCTGGAAACAGCTCATTAAACACGACCCCTCAAGAAGATACACCAGGGATCAAATGAGGTCTTGTAAAAACCCCGAGCCCTTTCAAATTGTTTTTCCAAACGTTATCGTTGTTTTTTCCTCTTATCGTTTTTCCAAGCGCTTCACATGAGCAAGGAAAGGGAAAAGGAAAAGGAATAGTAGAGGAAGGGAAAGGAAAGAATAGGAAAGGGAGAGGAAAAGGAAAAAAAAGGCCGTGTCTCACACGGACCATTTTTGATGCCAAAAGTTATCGTTTTCGTTATCATTTTGTTATCGTTCGTGAATCCTGTGTGTGCGTGTGTTCCTTTTTTTCTGGAAATGGCTGCAATCATCAAGAAAGGAGTGTTGCGACCACCTCCCAGGCACCTTCCTTGTGCAGAATCTGCTTCATTACGACAACAAACAATGAAAGGAAGAGACCAAAAGCACTAAATAGCCGCAGAATGATGGAAAAATGAAGAACTTTGGATTTCAAGAGTCTGGACACGTATCATTAACATAACCAACGTTATCGCTTTTTTCCTCTTATCGTTTTTTCGAGTGAAAGCAACAAATGGCTCATGGGGGATCATGGAAGACTAAACGAATAGGCGCATAGGCGCGGGTTTTTTACGAGCTCTCAAATAAATCTACCTAGCGAGCCTGAAACCTAACATTTTGTAGGTTTTTCATCGAATCCCCGGGTTTTTCCCAAATTTCATTAAAATATGGGTTTTCTTCCAAAAACCCCGGGTTTTGTATATATATGTATACTAAAGGGCTTTTTGGGGAAACTGATCATGTTTCTAAATATATCAATATAATCATACTTAGCCAAACCCTTCCTTGGACAGCCTGCCTTGCTTCAGGTCGCCAACAGGAGCATCCACGATCAAGGATGTACTATGTAAATTCCTGATTTTATATTTTATACTTTCACTTTGCTTATGACCTAGCGAGCCTGCACATTGGAAGCCGCTGATTCCTAAGAACCTGGATGCCTGAGCCCAACGGATGGTGAAAACTTATAAATACAACAATTTTCATTGGTTTGGGTCAGAAGAAATTTGAATTCGGCTTTTTAATTCATGGATGATTCCAAACATGAAAAAAAATCAGCCAAGATCTGGACCTGGAAAATGAATCCAATTACGAACAAACAGGTGGTTTTTGTTTTTTTTTCCGGACTATATGATGTTTTTTTATGATTTTCAAGATTTTGGCTGAAAATTAAGGGTTTTTTGGAAAAACCATGAAAAACCCGTATTTTCCCGTACTTATCCCGTATTTAACCCGTACAAAACCCGTATTTTTTGATTTTCCTAAAAACCCCGGGTTTTAAAAACCCGTATTTAACCCGTACAAAACCCGTAATTAACCCGTACAAACCCGTAGAAAAAATATGGGTTTTTTGGGCCCCGGGCTGAAGGCCAACAGTAGCGGATTTTTAGGTCCGATTGCTGTTTTGCGAGAAGATGCCAAACCGGCATCGAAAATTAGATGGGAAAAATGGATACAGCCTTCAAATTTACATGGCGTACCGCGGAAAATTAATAAATCATCTCCAGGCACCATGTTTTCTGTAAGTTTGACGGTGGTTCAAATTCGCAGCCTTGTTGGACTGGAACGGACTGTAGTTGGATTGTAGTGAGTATGGCGCCAAAACATGTGTCTACTCGTATAGGGATATTTACGAGGATGAAGAAAAAGTGTGGAGCATTTGGCCAGGGTGCAACGCATCATATGGCATGATTTTGAATTTCTCAAAGATTTTCAAACATTCAGACAGGATTTCAAACAGAATGATCACAAAACGGGAAAGATCATGACAGATCATGGAAATTCAAACATGATGAAACACATGGCTTTTCAAAACCCCGGGTTTTGATGCAAAACCCCGGGTTTTCTCTCAGACCCTACGATTTCATAGGTTCTTGGTTCCACTGGTAGCGGCTATTGCCAAATGATGCCTGGAAGCTATCCCCTGGAAGAAGGGCCGTGCCAACAGGTCCCTGAGCAGGACCAAAGTTGGAACAGAGTGAGAGAGATTGAAGAGAGTGTGTGGGTGCGCGTTTTTGTTTAATGAAACTAAGAAAACATGGATGAAAACCAGAGTGGTGAACCCTCCAAGTTTGTGTAACCTGAGATTCTAACAAGTAACGTACCAGTCAATAGAGTGGGGATGAATCGGGTTACAGCCGGTTACAGCCCAACAATCGGATTGTCACCGAGCCGATGCTGTCACACCCAAATTGTGTAGTGACAGTAGCTGCAAGCAAAACTCTGATGCGATTCCCAGCCTGAACTGTTTCTTGCGCCCACACGCTTCTGTGAAAACTATCGGGCTATTAAAATGCGCACAACGGGCCAAACACAAATAACAACGTTATAATCATCGTATTTATAGCACATTCTAGTGTCAAACTCCTGGCAGCCACTGGGTTCACTCTTCTCTGAGTCCAAGTTCAAACATGTTCAAACCAATTGCAAAGTGTAACTTGGTACTTGCATAACTTGACTCCAAATGATGTGCACTAGTCATGTCAATGCGCAATTGCATCGCATGACGTATCGCATGCCCGGGGCTTCACCACCAGGGCGGCCCCCAGCGGTCGGCTCACACAGGCCTCAGGTGCTTGTATTCATCATGACAGTTGCTGATTGGGATATGATTGGCTTGACAGTACTTTAAATATCTTTAACTGG